CATTAGGCATATGGATGATGCACAGCCCAAGAAACGAGATTACTGTTGCTCTTAGCTAAGAATAAGAGAATATAGCGTAGCCTGAATTTTGGTGGAATCAACTTGTAACTGACAGGCTTAAAGTTGTCTATGCATATAGGAAGTTCTTGTTCGAGTAGTAGCAGCAGGGAAAGAATTTTGCTTATAGGGACAAGATTGCTTGTCTTATCAAATGACCGTTATTGTTAGCCCTTAACCTATCCACACATATATAAGTCTTGCCTTAGTTTGGAAAGTCTAAGAAGGTGTCTTAGGATCACTGGGGAGATTGGTCCAAGTTTTCACTATTTCAGTGAGATAGAATAAACAATGCAAAGAGGAAGACAGGGAATTGCTCAGTTATGTTGTTTTCATGCTAGGAACAGGGATTGCCAGTGATGAAACATTTTGCTCTTTTGTACATGGATAAACAAGCAGCAATCTGATACTGCTTATATGCCATGTAAAATGCCTAATGCAACAATACCTGCAAGCAAAAAATCTTGGAAAATATGCTGTAAACTTCACTTGCGCACAGAGCTTTTATCATAACTACCAGTTCAGCCTGATTTGTGTCTCATTTAAATATGCTCTGAAAGCAGGTTTTGAAGATCCTCCCCCACCTCAAATATTGCCTCTTCGCAAGTGCATTCAATCCAGTCTAATTTTGCTTGCATAAACATTATATTTGGAACAGTGGCAAACCATTGCTGATGGCACACAGTAAGGGCTGACCCGAGGCAGAAAAAGCAAGCCAAACTCCCTAATTAAATAAAGCCTTTGACAGAAATCTGTTCTGAAAAGTCTACTCTCCTCACTCCCATACCTCCAATCTAGTACTGTTCTACAAACATGTACATTTATGGAAGCATTCATGGCAGTGAGGTGGCAAGGACAGTGTATCAGAGAAGCACATAAGATCATGTAACCAGGAAGAACACATTTTCACAAAACTCTAAGATCCTTAATTGAGCACAACATTTAGACTACTGATCATTAAATGGACAAACACATAGACAATGGCAATGACAAAGGAAGCCATAAGACAAATCCCTTTGGGGTTAGGGTTAATGCTTATGCTGAGTAAGCCATTCATTTACATGTGAGGTTTAATTTTTACACTTTTACACAGAACCACAACTACCTGAAGGAGACTACCAACAAAACTTTCAAAATCTCAAATATGACCCACCAAATGATATGCAGGATTTTTCACCATCACATCAACATTCTTCTAAGAAAAAAAAAAAGCAATACCACCAGATATTACAAGACCTAAAGGAAAATGAAGAGGCCTATGTTATTTCTAAACAATCATGTTGTGTGTATGCATCTTTGAAACCAGAGTGATGTGAAATAGGCAAAATACAAACTTGATTTACCAGTTCTGTTTTGAATCAGTAGTTTGTGTGTGAAGCTCAGAGAGAAATGGGGGGGGGGGGCGGATATTTTCATTTGGAAAACTCTGTCTACTTTTATCATAGTAAACAAGAACTGAATATATCTATTTATTTTGCCATATCAATTTAGGCAGGCCAACTTTTAACCAGCCAGTACTCTAACACTTGCATTTGTCAACAGTGCAGACAAGTACAAAGGGGAAAGCTCTTATTTTACCTCTTATTTTACCTCTGATGGAGAAACAGTTCAACAGTTTGCTACCCCACAGATAGTAGCTTCTTCAAAGCTTTTGTTCAGTTGTTAAAAATATTTTTCTTGCTTTTAAAAAAAGAAGCCCAGAGAGGATCACTTTGAAGTACAATAGACTGGAATTTATAATACCAATAATTCAGGTGGTATTTCCTCTCAGACATCCATTTCAATATGCTGCACTCATCTCTGGTTTATAGCTATGCACCAAGGACAATTTTGGAGCTTCAAAGTTAATTTGAGTATGATAGACTTATTTATATAGAAAGAGTACTCAACGAAAGCTTTGCTCATTAATTTAAAACTAGGTTCAATGGCATAGCTGGGGAACAGAAACTCTGTAGCTATAGGATCTCACAGAAAGACATAAAAGCACAAAAAAGTTCCTTCAACCTACTCTCTCTCACTTGCAAAGAAAGGTGGTTCTCACTCTTGAAAGCAGTGCACACCAACTTCAAACCTCTTTGGAACCAAGCATAGAGTATCAAATGAATGTCTTTTCTACATAACTGCTTAAAGACAGCAACAATGGCTTGAGGCCTCTCAGGCCTGTTATAAGTACATATGCAGCTTGCAGTGATGACTGCGCATTACCTCTTGCATTAGAGGCAATATGCACATCAGTACCAGTTGACAGAGAATATTAGCAGCAGGTGCCACTCTAGTCATGCCCTGCCTGTTGGGTTCCCACAGGCATCTGGCTGGACCACTGTGGGAACACAACATTGGATTAATTTGGCCATTGGTCTAACAAAGTAATGGCTTTTCAGAAACAAAGTCTTCTAAGCAGGGTGGATAAAAATCAAAGAATGAATGAATAAATAAATCATATTTTAAAAAATTTAAATTAGATTTTTAATAAAATCCTTTTTGAGGAAAACCTATCTAAAGATAGTTTTCTATTTAAGATATATTACAGTCCAAAGGTTATTCATCATGTAATAAGGATTAGTTTTTAATTATGCAACATGAGGCTGTCTGTTCGTGCAATGTTTGAATTTTTGGAAAATGAATTCTGTTAATCCACTCACAATGTCATGCTCTTCTAGAGGTTTCTGTAAGATTATTGGGTAGTTTTTCTATCTAGAAGATATTATCACAGGTGCTTGGTTTTACAGTTCTCAAAACTGTGAATTCGTGTCTGCAGAGATACATATATACCTATTCTTCACAACAAAAATGTTATAAAATAATAAACCTACAGGGTTGAGAAAAAGACCTTAATTCCACTGATCCTTTGCAAATTTGTGTACACAGAATCAATTCCTTACCTTTTAAGTGCTAAGTTTCAAAAAATCCAACAAACAGGAGGAGATGGATGGGAGTAGAATAGAGTTGCTCAAGAAGCAAAGTGTGAGGAGGGAGAGGCAAACAGTAAAAATGAAAGTGAAACCTTTTGAGTAAAACACTTTACAAATCTTTGCATCTGTCTGAGGTTTATGCTATTATTCTTTACCTGGAGAAGGAAACTTATAAGAGATCCAGTTTGGGAATATTTTAATAAAGTTCCCCTACCTATGGGTAAGGCAGGCATATGTGCAAATTATGTGGAAAACCATGATTTAAATTGGGTCTTACTAACTAGTGATTCAAATCCACCCTGCTTCTAAGTGTCTTACTTTAGGAGGAATAGGGATAAAGCTGTGGAGAATGAAATGGGGCTTGCAATCATGTCAAGGAAAGGAAGCACAATGGTTTTAGTTGCCAAGTCCCCTGGGATACTGGCTTGAAGGTGGAGGGAAGGAGAGGAGGACAAGCTACAGTGAGTTGTTTCAGAAACACTGCATAGCTTATTTTCAGGGTGGATTGCTGCAATGTGTAAGCCTTTACACATTTACGAACCACAAAATTAACCTGATTTGCACAATGTGACCCTGATGGTTTATCACCCTTGTTTCAGGGTGGTTTGCTGTGATATCTGAACTATTTGCAATTTTCTTAGTGTGCTTTCTTAACCACATGCAAGCCAACCTGAAAACTCATGGGTGGTTGTTGGTTTCTTCAGGATGTTTTTGTTTTCAGATTGGTTTGTTGTGATGAGCAAACCCAGCAGAATAGCTTATATAGGGCTTATCAGAAAGGCTTATCATTGTTGCACCTTGTCAACAATGGTGCAAGTCTCCCTGAAATCTCTCTAATGCCACCTCCTGCCTCTTGCCATTGGCCCTTCCTCCAATACATTGTGGCTTCCCTAGATAGCACTTTTTTCTCCTTGGAGGAAATTTGCATATATTTTAACAATTTTTTTAACCTTGATTGTGCATAGTTATTTTAATAATAACTATTGGATAAATTTGTGCAAATTTGCGGTAACTGCTGTTAGCTCCAGTAACTACTGTGCTGTAACAAATCTTTGCAAATTTCCCCAAAGTTTGAAAAAATACCATTAAGTATGCACAAACTTCCTAGAGTTTGAAAAAAAAAACCCTACAAAATAACATCAGCTCTGCTAATTAGTGCATCTTTGCTCATTAACAGGCTATATTGTTACAGTTGTGTCACAAGGGTCCACAGGATATGTGCCAGGAGTGGGCAGTACTAAAGAGGAAATAAGGCATGGAAAGCAAAGAGTGCCCTGTTATTTGTTAGGAGTAAATTGGATAGCAATCAACCAACCAGCCTATAGTGGCTCATTTTCAGGGTGGTTAATGTGACATATAAACCAGCCCATTGACTGTAACAACACATAACCAGAAGAACTCCAGGAACATTTGATCATATAGAACAAAACTGACACCATTGAGAATGGTGAAGCCATCAAAGCCATTGTGTTTCTTCATATATTATAGAATCACCTTTACATGAAGGGAAACTTAGCACAATTTGGAGCATCTGTACATATCAACAAAAATATTCCAGAACTATAATTTTAAGAAGGAATGGGAAAAAAATCTGTGTTGGGAATCTTACAGAAAAGATTACAAAGCATGCTTCTCCTATGAGTTCAAATTTCCACAAAGTGTACCTCTCTGATGTGGTTTATAGAAATCATTTTGGTTGAGTAAAGGCCAAGTAATAAAATAAAATATTTTGTTTTAAATATTTTGTTCACGATTCTAAAAAAAAATATTTCATAATCCAAACCTGTTTAATGTATCACTAAAACAAAAAGAGGCACTGGGGAAAACACATTTGTTTCACTCAGTTTTCCTGCTTTTTTGGATCCTTTGGTCTGGCAGGACCACAGTCAGTAATTTAGAATTATAATAGGCTTATAGTAATGAATCTGCAATCAGCTTATTTTCCCAACATCCCATATACTCAAAATGACTCCCCCCCCACACACACACACACTCACACCAATCATTTACCAAGGCTGGACTTTAGCATACCTGCAGTTACACGAAAGTGAATGACAGTGGTTAAACTTGTCAAAGTGAACCAGATGGATGACAAAGTTGCTCCTGACAGTAACAGAAGAAGTATAAGTTTCAGCATCCCTCTAATAGAATCAGCAAACCTGAAAGAAACATAAATCACATGTTACAAGCATTTCACACATTCCATAAATTGAGAAAGTGCATTATACTTCACCAATATTGCTAGAATAGCATTGATTAAAGTAGCAATTTCTGGTGTGGCCTTTTTAAGTTGTGAAGAAGGAAGTGAAGAAGGAAAGGACATTAGCAGAAATACAGATCTCAAGGAGTTTCTAAGATGGGTGTATGTATGATGGTCTTGATGCTGATCTGTTAAAGAAGCTGTTTTAGTTTTATATTTGACTCTCACAAAATACCTTACAACCTGAAACACATTGATCTCTGATATGGTGTTGCACTATGAAAACAAACATTCCTTTTAGCTGTCTCAAGACAACATTCATACTAGAAACCAGTATCTCTCTTTATTTGAACCTTATCCTCCCTGCTCCACCTTCTACAACATGAAAACAAAATTTCCACTTAATTCAATGGCTTCAATCTCCTTCTATTAATGAAATTTGGTTTTGCTCCAAACCTGACTCAGTACCTGGTACAGTATCCTATTCACAGCAATGCAGTGTTGCTTTCCCCATTCACATTTCCTCCTGTGTAGTAATGTTTCCTGCATATGATGCAGCAGGATTAAAAGCCTCCTGCCCCTGGCAACTACAGGGTATAATATCTTTGAATTAGGGAGTAGAAAGATGGAAGACAGCTACCTGTATTATACTAAGGTAAAAGCCAGATTTTCTGAGCTGGAGCAGCCTGAAAAGAAAGAAAAACTCTTGCTGGGAATGTATTTCTGTGGGCTACTGGAAGTAATAACTGCAGCTGATAAAAGTTTATACCATATAAATTGGAAAACTGGTGGTCTCCAGATGTTTTTGACTACAACTCACATCAGTCCCAGCCTGCATGATCAATGATCAGAAATTATCAGACTTTTAGTCCAAAACATCTGGGAACACCAGGTTGTTATCCCTGCTTCAAATGGTGTAAGACTTAAGAGACAACATTTAATCACATAGTCTAACAGTCCAGTCAAGCACTATTGGGCAACTTACAAAAGGATGTGAACACAATAGCATTCAGAGGTATCGCGCCTGCGTACATGGACGCTCTCCTCCCTGCCTAATTTACTCTCCACTCAAATATGCTCTTTATTACAGCTGTTTCCCTTTCCTTCTAATACCGTCTTGTCTGTCCAATTGCAAGACTGACCTTGAGTTTAAAATTGTATCCTGTACATCATCTGATTTTCTGCAGGGTGATAAACATAGAAGAACAGCAAATAAATTTCTTCCTACCACAGGGCCCCCCAAAAGTCTACTACAAGCTTTCATCAAAGCTTAGTTCAGTATTTTATGGCGTAGCAATTTCACATTATGTGCACCCCATAGTTAAGAGTTGTAATTTGTTGCCATCGACTCCACTGCTTAACTGCTACAGAAATTACTTTATGTCACGAAGTTTCTTCATTTTGACTTTGCTGCCATTTAAAAGATAAAGAGAATTCTCAACTGTGAAGGACAAACCGAGAAAAATATAACTGATCATTACCAAATATGACAGAAAAAATGCCAGGGAAAAAAGGATGCTGATTTGTGTTGCCGTGCAGTATAAAAAAACAAAAACACATGAATGTCACTCTTTGAAGTTGCTCATCTTCTGCCAAATCAGACTCATCTTACAGCTGCTAACAAAAGGTAAGGTACAGTCCCTGCCAGGTGCCCAAAATATCCCAGCATCTTCAATCACAAATGTGCCATATGAATTATCTCAAATTCCTGATTTGGGGCTAGGAGAGTAGCACGAATGAGAGCATAAATCTCATGTGGCGGAAGAAACCATATACTGCAGGTAACAAAATAATGAAATTTTAGAGCTCATTTTCCAGCTGTGTCTTCCTTTGACAGGCATAATTTTGTACCACAGGCACAAACATTTCTACTGCGTGGAGAGATAGTCTGACATCCAAATGATAGCTTTTGCGTCATCACAAACTGGAAAGAGACATTTGAATGTAGTGCCCTTTATACATTGTGTTTAGCTAGTAAATAACACTTGCAAGGAGAGTGAAATTATATTGCAATTTAACTGCAATGGGAGAGAGGGAGGCATTGGCAGTTGAGGACGATGAGGAAGTAAAATTACACTATGCTTCTCAAATGGAAACACTGGAGGTACTAAGAAAATTAGCAGCTAGTAGAACAAAACAGTTCCCCACGCTGTGCTGTTACAATAGATACCAGGCTGTCTGCTTGGTAAGTCACAGGACTGACATTGAAATACATGAGCCTGTCATGCTTGACAAGAATCATTACCTAATTTTCCTAATTACGACTTTCAGCAGATTATAGTCAGCACAGACATTGATTCAACTCTACATAGATAACTGCTGAATATGCCTAAATGAGGAGAGTCATCTATCAAAAGTGACAAATCGCCACTCCTTTTGTGCACAAACTCCCGTGTTTGAAACTTTATAATTCTTCAGTGAAAAACAGATATTTGATTATAGACTATCAGCTTTGGCTTTTTATAAAAAGCACAAATAAATAGACCAAAGAAGAGCTATTCTGCACTCCACAAAATATTTGCCTCACCATGAAATTTGAAATCAGTCTTGTAACAGCTACAAAAGGATATTCTGAGGATGAAATCAAACTACCTATTTAACAAATTAATCTTCCACAAAAGGTCAAGATTTCCATGATAGACCTGAGTCAGCAAATCTGTACTTAAGGCTAGAAAATGATGGCCCTTCAATGTCAAAAGCCTTTGTTTTAAAAGTACAATATAATTCATGAACGGAAGGAGCTGCCAAATTTACAAGAAGATTCTGTATGAGCATATAAAAACTTAGCATGAGACTAGACCTTGCTGTTGTTTTGTTTTGAATTCTTGTACCTTGTTTTATATTGTATTTTATTGTATCTTGTATTAGTGTATTTCATAAATTGCCCTGGTAGCCTTTTATGCCTATGTGGCAGTATAAAAAATTTGCAGCAGCGGCAGCAGCAGCGGTGAAGCTCTGCAAATTTAGGCTTGAAATCAAGTACCCTTAAAATTATTTCAGTTGAAAGGTTTCACTGTATTAATCAGAATTATATTCACCGATCACTGGAAATTTTAATGAGAAACTCCTCTGACTTCCTAGATTTCACCCAGCTTTGGTGTACTTCACCTACTTTGAAGTACATTTTTAGAGCATAAGGGCTAGTAGTGTGTGTGTGTGTGTGGGGGGGGGGGTTATCCACCATTGCATTGTCTCTGACTTATGGTGACCCAATGAATGAAAGTTCTCCAAAGCGTCTGTTCTTCAGAATCCTGCTCAACTCCTGTAAACTCAAGGCTGAAGCTTCCTTTATCAAATCGATCCATTCCATAGGTGGTCTTCCTCTTCTTCTGCCTTTGACTTTCCTGATCATTATTGACCTCTCCACTGAGTCTTGTCTTCTCATAATTTGCCTAAAATACAACAGCTTCAATTACATCATTTTTGTTTCCAAGGCAAGGTCAGGCTTGATTTGACCTAGGAACTGCCTGTTTATCTTTCTATTATATTGACAAAGTACTCCTCCAGCACCGTATTTTGTACATACCCATCCATTTTCTTCCTATTAGCTTTCTTCCTCGTCCAGCTTTCACCCCCATACATTGTGATTGGGAATAAATTAGTGTGGATGATCTTGGCCATGATCTCCAGTGAAACATCCTTATGCTTGACATTTTCTAGTTCCTTTCTTGCTGCCCTTCCTGTCTGTCTTCACCTACTTTTTGGCTGTAGTCTCCCTTTGAATTAATGACTGAGCTAAGGCATGCAAAATCTTTCACAATTTCAATTCCATCACTGTTCATTTTCATTAAAGTTACATAATTTTTGTTTTCTTAATGTTCACCTGCGTTCCTGATTCTGTGCTTTCTTCTTACACTTTCATCAAGAGACATTTCAATGCATTGCTGATTAATGCTAGAAATATGGCATCATCTGCATATCTCAAATTATTGATACATCTTTCACCAATTTTCAGTCCTTTCTCTGATCCTAATCCAACTTTTCCTCATGATATGTTCTGTATACAGATTGAACTGACAGGACAATAAAATAACACTCTTGTCTGACACCTTTGCCTATAAGAATCTATCCTAAAAGTACCTTCTTTTCCGTAAAACAGGTTGTGCCCCAGGACAATCAAGTGCTGAGGCATATCCAGACGTTCCAGAATCATCCATAGCTTCTCATGCTCTGTGCAAAGGCATTGCTGTAGTCTGTAAAGCACAGATGATCTTCTTCTCAAATTCTTCGCTGCACTCTAGTAGTAAACATATTTTTGCAGTATGATCTTGAATGCCTCTTCCTTTTCAGAATCCAACTTGAACATTATGCATTTCTCACTCTATAATGGTTAAATTCTTTGTTGCAACATCTTGAGCATCACTTTGCTTGCAAGGGAAATCAGTCCAATGGTCCTACAGTTGCTGCATCTCCTTTCTTGGGAATTAGAATGTATGTTGAACATTCCATTCTGTGGGCCACTGTTAGTTTTCCTTATGTGTTGGCATATTCTTGTTAGGATTTGGAGCAATTCAATCTCTGCAACTGGAAATATTTCTATTGGTACCCTATCTATTCTTGGTCCTTTCAGCACAGCTTTCACTATGGCTTCTAAGAATGCAGGCTCTTCTTCATAGGATTTTTCTTTGAAGGAGTCTGTCATCCTTTCATCTCATTGCTATAATTCTTCTGTATGTTGTTTCACCGTCTCTTTATTTTTTTCTTGGTCAAACGTTTCCCTGTTGGTCTTTCAGCATTCCTAATATTGATCGGAATTTCCCTTTGATTCTTGGATCTTCTGGAAGAGGTCTCTTATTTCCCACTTTTGTTAGTCTCTTCTATTTCTTTGCATCAGGCATTTTAATAGTTCTTTTTGTCTCTATGTGATAATTGTTAAAAAGTTGTATTCAGGATTCTGACCCTATTTCTGTCACATTTTGCTTTTGATTCTTGCCTGTGCTTAGTGATTGTGTTTTTTCTTTCATCCACCTGGGCTTTTTCTTTCTTTTTTACAGGAATAATTTTGGCACTCTTCTCTAATAATGTCTCTGGTTTCAGTCCACAGTTCTTCTGGATCACAGTCAACTGAGTCCAGCAATGCAAATCTGTCCTTTATATGGACTTTCTCAAGTATGTTTGATAATAATGTTTCATAGTCACTACCACAATTTGGCAGTGAGACTACAGCTTCTCGATCTTCTGTTTCCAATTACACAGTCCATTTGCTTTCAATATTGGCTATCTGATGATATCTGTTTCATTGCCTTAAGTATGCATTTGCAATACACAGATGGTCATGTTCACAGAATTCTATGAGTCATTCTCCTGGTTCATTTCTGACTCCTAGGCTAAATTCTCCCATAACATTTGATTACGTGTTGTTTCCTACAACATGTCTTTGTTTTGGTGTGTTATCATTTTCCTCTTGAATGTGTGCATAAAAGTTTTCTATTTCTTCCACTTCAGCATCTGCTGTAAGAGTATAGACATCAATGATGCTTATTTTGATAGGTTTTTTAGGAATTCTGATTGATATTATTCAGTTGAATTTTGCATTATAGCCTTTTACTGCCTGTGCTACATCTTGCCTCAGTATTACAGCTATTCCATTTCTTCCAAATTTGTCATTTCCAGTGTAAAACACTTTGTGCTTGTCAGACTGAAAATGTCCCATTCCGGTCTACTTTAGTTCACTCACACCCAAATATTGCAATGTTTAATCATTCCATGTCTTGCTCAACAGTTTCTAATTTCCCTTGATTCATACTTCTTGCATTCCATGTTCCAACTGTATGTGTTGTTAAGCACTGGACTTTTCTTTCACTCTTGTGCATGTCAGCCACTAGAATTCCTTTTCACTTTGATCTAGTTGTGTCATTACTGACAGCTTTTATTTGTACTTGTCTTCTGATTTTCCCCAGTAACTGGTTGAGTGCTTTCCTTTTTCTTGCTTCATTTTGGATTATTTCATCATAGGGTTTACAAGGTAAGAAATATTCAGAAGTGGTTCATCTCTACTACCTTCTCAAAAGTACTAATCGGAGTTAGTTTAAGCATCCCTGCCAATGCCTGCTAAAGGTCCTCCATCAATGTCACCTTCAAACTAGTGCTGCTGCCCAGTACCTGCCTTTCATTAGTTCTCTGTCCCCATCACCATTAGATATCTATTCCTTTCTGCTGATGCAACCATTACTTCTTAAAAGGGAAGATGACTTTTCATTTGGTTTCCCAGCTTTGACTATTCTGCCTTGGCTGACCCTGCTATGATATCAGCCTGGTGAGTCTGGCATCTTGGCAGCATTGCTTTTGGTGTGTATGAAACTCTCAACCCCTTCATCATAGTCAGGTGTGCAGCATCCAAGAAGGGGATATGGAGATAATAGGTAGGTAGGTAGATTTGAAAGTTGAGGATCTGGAGATGGAAGAGGGATGGAGAGGCAAACATGCAAGCAATACTAACAGGATATCAGTGGAGCCTGCTGCTACAGTGTCAGTGGTGTGTCCACTCTGGCTTGACGGCTGAATGTTTAAGAGGCTATCCGTGGTGCTAAACATTTGGGGCTAGCTTGCAGCACCATGGATAGCTCCTTTAAAGTTCAGAATAAAACTCACAGTAGATGCACCACCTCATTGGCAGTGGAACCACCAGCCTCTACTACTGGACATATTTCAGCATGAGGACTACATCTGTTCCTGTTTTGTACAAAGGATGGGGTGGTGGTATTTGATTTAAAGCCTCCCACCATACATTTTGTCACCAAACCCAGTGGATTTCTGATTTTGGTTTGTCACAAACTGCTGTTTCTTTCTTCAGCTGAACTATGGCTTGATGTGGTAAATTCTCCTAAATGCAAACCATTGTGCAAATGTAAAATAGGTTTTAGGTTATCATTATGGGCAGAACCCTCTAAAGGTGATGTTTACCCATTTTTAACTCCATCATTTAAGACTTACTTTTCCCTCTACCACAGAAAATGCAAGATTATGGTAAATGACTTCCAAATGAGTCAAGAGTTCTAATCAAACTTTGATTAAAGCTGGTTTATTATCATGGTTTGTTTGGAAGCCATTAACCAAATTTCCCGACTAGTTGTAAAGGGAGGTTATAGTTAAATGTGGTTGATTGCGGTTTTTGTGTGAAGTGCAAGTAAGGAATTGCATGGATGTGCATGCTGTTCATGTATATTTTGGATTATTAAACCCAGATTTGTTTGTCTGAATAGTTTTGTGCATTCCACAGTCTTTTAATTAAGGGACTGCTTTTCTATGAAAGTTTATTCTACTAATTCATTTATGTGATTGATGTAATTTCTGAGCTGGCTGCTCACCAAAGATCATCATGGTAGAGTCCAATGTGCCTAAAATCTATTTTTGGTATCACAGATAAGCTTTGGTGAGATTCACAAGTTTCCATTTCACACATTCAGTTGCTCACATGAATTTAAATGCAAGTGAGTTTCCTACATGTTCACAAAACAGCTCAATATAATGTCTGAATCAGGCCTTTAATGTCTGGTTCAGAATTCACAGCATCCAATTAGCTTAGAGATTGTGCTGAGGAATACCTCACATATGGGATGGAAAAGCTGGAAGTGAGCAGGAAAAAAACCTGATGCTTCCTTGATTATTTTCTTAACTTAGAAACAGAGAAACAGAGCAAGTCAGAAGGGGTCTCCCAGGCCATCTGGTCTGACCCCCAGCTCCAGCCGGCTCTGCTCAGGACATGCCCACCAGTAAGTGGTTCTTTCCACCATTCGGATAGGATGGATAAGAAATATGTGTCAAACATAATATGAACTCCTCAGTTTGATGATTGAGCAAATGGAATTTCCAGCATTGAAAAACCAAAACAAAACACTTAAATCACTATGCTAAAATGATGAACATATTGCTAAGTCACAGAAAAGCTAGTTGTTCTCTTATAATTGTCATAGATAACAGGAAATGATCTTGGGGGATATAATTTCTAACTAAAGTATACAATGTCACTGAAGGAAAAAAAAGTGTAGACTGTGCTGATTATGCTGCTTACCTTGCAAGTGCTATGCCAAACACACAGCCCCCTACAATGGACCAGAATCCAATCCAACCTGCATCCACCTGGGAAAATGTGTGAGAGAAATGGAAATACAATGTTATTTCAAGCAAAGTATTAAGGATAGTATTTGCCATCCAATAAATAACCAATAAATAACAATGACGAGCTTAAGCCTCCAAACTCAGAAACTCACATTCACCCAGTGCAGAGTGGGAGGCACACCAGAGCCCCTTCTTCCTGTTCCTCTCATTCTGCATTTTTGACTACCTAGCAGAGGCAATTCAGAGGGGGAAGGAAAGAGGCTAGAGCTGCCTCAGAATACCTCATCACCTGGCTGTTCCAGTCTCCTCCCAAAATGGCACCTTTAACCACTCTCCAAGAACATTTCTAACCTTGGAGAGCAGCCAGCACATACTTTCCACATTACACCTACTGTAAGGGAACAGAAAGGGGAGTGAGAACTCAAATTCTCCAATTCCAAGGTTTCAGCACTGTTTTCAGCTTTGAAACCCAAACTCTGAACTATCTGGAGAACTCTTAGACAATGCCTAGGGGCCACAGCATCTTTCCCTAAGTTAATTATGCAATGCGTCAAAAAATACTTCCTTTTTCTTCGCTTGACAAAAATTTGCCAATTAATGTCACTTTGTAATACTAAGTAATAGTTTTATTAGAGTTTTTTCCTAGCCACTGCTTTTCTCCTATAGATTATGGAAACATTTCATTCAATAAACTTTATAAATACATGTTTCAACAGACACCTCTTTTCTTATCCACTGTAATAATTTTTAGTGTTATTCCGAACTCCATTTGGTCTCATAATGTTGAAAATACTTTCCCTACAAGTTAGGGCTGTGTCCAATGCAACCTGTTTTAGTTACTAGTCTTAAGGCCAATGTTTTGGAGTAGAAAAAATAAAATACAAACAAACATGCATACATACTTGGCTTATGTGAGCTGGGGTTAACACCCAGTCTAGCACACCAGACCACCCAGAGAAAACACCCAGTGGTATAGCATAGGCTAGAGCAATCATCAGAAAGCGGGGATTGCTGTAAAATAAAAGAAAAATAAGAAAAGCTGTTATTAATATATAAGTACTTCCCTCTTCCTATGGGTGCTTAAGGACAGGAGTTTTTTTTCCCTGCAGACACATTACTGGGCCCTAGATATCTCAAGAAGTGCCTCCTTCCCTATATGCCCTCCCGCCCCTTGAGATCTGAGGCAGAGGTTCTTCTTCAGGACCCCTACTTGAAAGAGATTAGGAGGGTGGTTACCTGGAGGAGGGCCTTCTCTGTGGTGGCACCCCAATTATGGAATACATTCCCTGGAGAAGTTTACTTGGCACCAATGCTTTTTTCTTTTTGGTGCCAGAGTAAAAGCTTTTTATTTCTCCGTTATTTTAATGTTTAATTGGTTTCAATGTGGTTTTACACTGTTGTATTACAGGATACTGTGCCATTTTATTTTCTATTTTACTTGTTGCTTGTTGTAAACCATCCCAAGACACCAGAAAGAAGATGGACAGTCTATAAAAGCTTTAAATAAAATAAAATAAATAAAATACTGGGCAGTGAGAAATTGCACTTGCTTAATGGTATTTTATTGAGACTGATTCCAAATTTGTTGTCAACCTAAGCATCTAAAGATTAGAAAGAGGTCACTTTGCCTTGTTTTATAATCCCAGTTCATACAAAAAGAGATACTATTCAGCAAATATCATGGTGGTAATGCTGCACTGGCTTCTTCTTGTCCCCACAGTTATTGTTTACTATTTCATTTATTTCTTAGGTAGATTTCAGAAAATCGTGTTCCCATTATGGCTTGGTTACACAGTTCATTTTCAGCACACCAAATTCATAAAATGAAATTAATTTTTAAAGAACAAATTTAAAGCACACCAGTTGTAGTAAAAAAAATACAATAAAAAACAAACCGAATCTATAACCTTAAATAACCACCAGGAGAATCATATATAACAAAACATTCAATTCAAAAGCCAAAGAACACACAGTCAGTTTTTGAAGCCCACTTAAATAGATGAAGCTAGCTGTACCTATCCTAAGAGGGAACCCCACAAGGTAGGTGCCTCACTAAGGAGGCCTCATCACTTGTTCTGAACAACATTACAGATCTAATTGCAGACCATGAACATTTTAAGATGATCGCAATAACTAGGTATTCTCATTAGCGTGTAGGCAGGCCTTAATCCAAACCATTAGGTGCTTTAAAGTCAAAAACAACTTAAACTGGGTCTTGAAAAATGCTGGTCACCAATTCCGTCCCATGAAGTACCCAAGGAGTCACAGGATCTCCTCAAAGCACCTATTAAGCAGTTCAATGACTTTTTGAGATTAGTAAGTGGAAAATTAAGAGTCATCTTCCCATGATTTCCCCAAAAGTTTCATGTAGATAAGTTACAGCATGGGGGCAGGGGGCAAAGAAACATTATTACAGCATGCGGGCGCGCACACTGTGGTGGGGGCGGGGTGCAAGGTGAGCAAGGCACAGGGGGGCACACACATCATTTTCTCCAAGCGAGCAAACCACTGCCTCCCCACACGCGGGTCAAGGTGGGTGGTGGCGGGCACGAGCATGGCAGGTCCTAATGGGCATGGCAGGCCAGATCTGGCCATAGTTTGAGGACCCATGCTATTGCAGATCTTGGGCAGAAACTATTATGAAATTCAGACGTTGGTGACCATAAGGTTCCTGACAGATTCATGAATTCGACATACCTTTGCAGTATCCTGCAATTCCAGTACTTTTATATGGATTTCTATGACAATACTAAAGGTTCCATTTCAACACAGTCCTCAGTGAAGCAGAAGATACTGTGCACAACTAACTAAAGGAGTGACACTGGCATGACGCTGAAGAGCAGGTATACATTATCAGGGTCACTTTTAATTTATTCAATCCAAGAGGAGCACATCACTACATTAATCATGACAATCATTTTCCTACACTAAATTCATACACTTTTGACTCATTCTCTGTTCACCCCATTTCTCTTACTCCCAACACCATCACACCATATAAATGACCTTTTCTGTTAATGATCCCTCTTATTTCTCCATGCCATGGCACACTCACTGCACCACAGAATACATACACTCTTCCTCTCTGCACCCCCACATCTCCCCCCTCCAACTTTTTTCCAATCTCCCTGTCCTTCTGCTCCCAGTGTTATCCTCAACACACCACTGCAGGGCTCTCTGCACTGCTCACTGCTCCCACATTTTTAGCTGTCCTTATCCCTTTTTCGCTACACAAGGCATTCACCCTCTTATTCACACAGTGAAGAAATCTTGGATTCTGGAGAACTATGTGGCATGATTAGGGATACAGAAAACAGCAAAAATTTAGCTTGTCATAGTTCTGTATAGCAAGCTCAGGAATAAGCATGGTTTGAACATCTATTTGGAAGGTGTGAATACATTAAATACAAATTTCTCATGTATTTCTCCCTAAACATGTTGACTGGCTCTCATAGGCTAGAAAATAGTTATTTGAAATTTCCCAAGGGGGTTCCACATAATGAAGAATAATGCAATTGATCCATGGGTCTTATGGTATCGGTAAGTGACAAAGGCATTTCTTGAACAAATCTCAGCATAAATGCCATAGCGCCATAGAGTGCTAAATTATGGGAATCGTTTTAATAGAATAGGTCACTGGTGAGATAATTTTACATATTTATCCCACATCATTTAATTCCTGCCTAGTTTTACAGAAATAGCTCCTACCAGGGATTAAAGGTTATCTTCCCATTATCTATTGGAGTTATTGTTAAAAGCAACCAATGAGGTACAATGAGCACTGGAAATACTTATTTAATTATGCTCTTCATTTCATCTGTATGACAGGAAACAAACAAGGAGAAAACAAAGGAAGGACATGTTTCTCCTCATTCATCCAGCAACCAATGTATTGTATTCAATACATATACAACAAAATCAGTCCCAAGATGCACACTGGGTTGAGCTCAGTTATCTATGTATGCACCATAAGCAGCAAATTATCTGTGAAAGTGCCCTATACAAAAAACTCTTTAACCTTTTTCAAATAAATAATGTCTCTGACCTATAGAAAGCATATGAGGAATAAAGAATCATAGCTTCACTTAAGCTAGGCACATTCACCCAACCTTTTAAAAAGGGTAGTGTTAAGTATTCATGGCATACTCCCAAAAGAATGGTTTGATGTGTTGATGCAAGGCAATGCTATTTAAATATTTACAGCAGGTAACTGATGTAAAATGCTGAAACTGCAAATAAGATCTCATATAAATGTCTTATTCTCAATCCCCACTGTTGTCCACTAACAGAGTAAATTACTTTAGGACTAAGTACAGGCAGAAGAAGCACAAATATGCCTGAGCTCAAGTAAAACTATATGTTTAAAAGCTACTGGAAATAGGAAGATGAAAAGAATTCCAACACAGTGATGCCCATCTCTATTAAAGCAAAAGGACAAGTCCAAGAAATGGCTCTACAGGATTCAAAATACTGTGAAGCTGTGAAAGCTTTATTGCCTTCCACATTCTGCCGAACAAACTGGATCTGACGAAAAAGCCCCAAGAAACAACTTTCGAAACAACAAATGAAGAAAAGGAGTGGGCATTTGTTTAGGAAGGTATATAAACTTCTTAACAACCTCCACTGAAGTGTACTGGGGGACCATATAGCTTAACTTCAATGCATACTATTATTTATACATATTATTTAATTATAAATTAAATCTATAGTCTGTCTTATTTCTTACACAGAACTCAAAGTGGTTTACATAATTCTCCTCCACCTGCTCTGAATCTTATCCCCACGACAACCCTGAGAGGTAAGTTGGTTCTATAACTGACACAAAGTCACCCAGTTGGCTTCATGGCTGGGTGGGGACTAGAATCTAGATCGCTTGAGTTCCAGTCCTGTGCTCTTAACCACTACACTACGCTGGCTCTCAATTTATTATTCTTTAGAAAGCATTACACAATTAACATTATGTTCAATGAGTATTGATATATATTGGGTAGTGTTGCTATTGTGATATGGTTTGCATTTTCCTACTAAGCATTTTTGTAGGCACTGACTTGGTGTGGAAAGGAGTTGTGTTTAATTTGAAATCACATCTGTATAAATGCTCTTAGAAAAAAGGTGGCACTTTCAATTGAGAGCACATGGGTGAACCTAAAGGTCAACACATTATCCTATATGGCATTAAGATTTTCAGTGCAGGCTCTTCTCCAATTAACAGCAATAGGAAAAATTGCACAGACAATGGAGATAGCCTTTTCTGCGGTGGTGGCCCAATTCTGGGATACTCTCTCAAAGAAGATATAATTAGGGTACAAGCCTATGCAGGTTAACAGACAAAAGGCCTAAAATTTCCAGCATGCCCCAGTCAGCATAATTCCTATTTAAACTTGCATAGGCTTGCATCTTTAATACTTTTTTGGTATCTAAAACATGGCTTTTGACCGAACATTTTACTCCCCCCGCCGCCCCATGAACTGATTGACCTGTTTTTTTGTTGGTGAAATACATTTTCATCTTTCATTTGTAACTGAAACTGAAACCTGCAATATTTGCAGGTTAATATTGGATTTTTAAAAATGTTATTTATTTTGCCTAAGGATCCCTTCGTGGAATCCTTTTTTTGAAGCTGAAGAACTGACTCGTGAAACCTCCTTCTCCCAAGTGGAAGAAATGTGCAGTTGCCTACTTGGGCCATTCTTTGGAAGCAATCAAACAGAAGTTGTGAATCACCCTTGCACCCTAAAGCCTTTCTACACAATGTTCATTTTTCAAGGCTCCTTAATTCTTTCTTCAAGGAAATGTAACCACAAGTAACTATCCAAGCCAAATTGCACAGAAACTGCACTGACTGATTGCTTTATTTCAAACATCAGAATTAATGAAGCTAGTAAAAAGAGTTTGAAGGCATTCTTTTAAAAGCCCTGCTTTCAAATTTCTTCGCACAGGTGCCACAGAGTTAGAAAGCTCTTGATTTTACACAGTGCTACATGTCATTTATTCTGATATAAAAAGTGCTA